GTAAAGCCACAACAGAGGACATAAAAGGTTAAAGGTAGGAGTATAGTGAAAGTGAAGGAGAAAAGAACAGTAGAAACTTTGATTAAAGGAGTGAAAACAGGAAGAGGGTCAAATAATTGGTAAAAACCAAACATAAAAAATCCTAGAAGGAGACACTAATCTATAGTGCATGAACATTACGTGTAGAACAAAGAAGAAAAAAGGTTAATTAAGCTAGGAAAATGGGGCAGCTCAAGAACACAACAACTTTAATATTTTTTTTTCTTTTTTTATTTTTAAACTAGAAATTAAAAAAAAAAATTATACACTAAAACCGCTGCCTCAGGCAGCGTTTTAGTGTATTTTTTTTTTTAATATCAAAAATTACGAAATTTAAAAAACAAAAGTCAACATGTAAAACGCTGTCTGAGACAGCGTTTTTAAGTTGAATTTTTTATAAAAAAAAACTAGGGTATAAAACGCTGTCCGAGACAGCGTTTTACCCTGAAAGCTTAGTTTGGTAAATACTTTTGCCACGCAACCATTTACGTATATATTTTGCTACTTAAGCTTAATTTGGGAAAACGTCCCTTAGATCGTCATATATAGTCCAACTAATGATGTAAATTGATTCTAGTTATGTATTCCGTGCAATGCGTGACCTGACTATATAATTTTAACGTAGTTTCGAGGGAAGTTCCTATGTTTTTGTTCTATTACAAAATTTGTTTTTTTCATTAAGTTGCATAAGTTTAATTTATGGAAGCTAGTAAATAAGTCTTTGGTTTCTTTTAGGAAAAACAATACGTATTCTAATAATTAACACAATTCTACAAAAATAAATTCAAACAAAATGAGTTAAATAAGTTCAATAAGTTCTGATGCATGAGTTTAAGTCAATTCAAATTATTAGCCAATAATAAGTTGAATTGGAAGATGTACACCCATAATCAATTTGTGACATTCATGGTACACAAACTACTTATACTATTGATTAATTTGGATGATACATTATTCTAACCTAATTAATTCTAACATTACGAGCTAATATTAAACCTGCTCCTTCAATGGACTAATAACGACTTATGCTTTTATCAACATTCTTTTAACAAAAATGTTTCATTTCTTACCGATTTTATAAACTAAAATACTGAATAAGAGAGTAGTCCACATATAGGACAAAATGTCCCACATAAAGAAGAAGGAAATGACTATTGGCTGATGGCTGATGCATTAGTTTAATTGGCAGTGTACTCCATCTACTACCTCTGTTATACATTATGTGCAACTTTCGGTATTATTTGTGAGATATAAAATATTAAAAAATTACACGTAATATCTAACAGAGGTAGTACGTAATATCAATTGAACTTAGGATGAAACTCAATTAGATTTCTAAATAGACAGAATCCCTAATTTTGATTAAAGATTTATTTTGTACAATGAAGATTCATTGTATTCTACATGTCATTATCATGCTCTCTAATTGTCCTACTAGAGATTCTCATAGTGACAAGAAATTAAAGTTAAGTTGGAATTGGTTCTCATGATATGATTGATGATGTTGTAAAAATTAAGGTAAACTTATAGGAATAGTCATGGCCTGTTGTTCCTTCAATTGTTTTGGAGACTTTCATTTTGGATTTGTTTATATATATATATATATCATTGTTTGTTATTACTGATAGAGTATATAACATATTCCCGTATCTCAACCATCAACTCGAACTTTTGGTTGAGATGGTCCTTCAACATGGTATCGGAGCCAACGTGACATAGAGGTCACGGGTTCGAATCTCATCCACCCCTCCTTTAAAGTGGAATTAATTCGCGTCGGGTATGAGAGGGTCTGTGCTGCATCCACATTTCAAGCCCAAAGGACCTTTCATGTGAGGGGGAGTGATAGAGTATATAACATATTCCTGTACCTCGACCATTAGCTTGAGCTTTTGGTTGAGATGGTCCTTCAACAATTACTTCTATCAATTCTTTTATATATATATATCATTGTTTGTTATTAAGATATATATCATTGTTTGTTATTACTTCTATTAATTCTTTTAGCTAGCTCATCTAAAATGTTTCAATTGAATAGAAAGAAACTACAACTATTAGAATTCAACTATATACTATAAGAGAAATATATTTATGCGAAATCTTGTTATGTTCAATTATTCATATTGATGTGTTGTTTAAGTGTTAACTAGTTTTTATTATTATATAGCTATTGATAATAATGCATAAATGTGTCCATTGAAATTAAAGCATTATACGAAGTATATAAATGGCAAGTGCATGGGACAACAAAAGAAACAAATCGGACGAATTAATATCTTTTTTTTTTTTTTTTTTTTTTTTTTTGGAAAGGATACAATTAATTTCTTTTTCACACTCATGTTGAACAATCTTTTTGCACTTTGCAAAAAGTAGTTGATTGTTATCGTGTCTAATAGGTGAATTTTTCATACTCTAATTGATTTTGTAGACTAGTAACAAGTTTAAATTTATTAAGAATTCTATCATGGGTATTTTTGCAGCTGTTTCCTCATCATACAACCACTTTAAAAGATTCTTAAAAGGGAAAATCATTTGTTTGCAATTGCTAATTACTACTCCGTAGAAAGGAGAAATATGTTGGGTTTTTTTTTTGGGGTAAATGATGATTACAAGAAAGTGATGAATTCTAATGTGCATCATTATAAGTGTCGATTTGGGTACCTGGGTCGGGTCGGGTCTATTACAAAGTTTGAGTCATGCTATGAATTATTGTGTCCATATGAGTCAAACTTTGAATTAGGTTTTTTCGGATCAAATTGGATCGGATCGGTTGAGTCAGTTTTTGAAACCTCTTGCATCATAGATGTTGTAGTATTACATAAAAACCAAGAGTCTGAAGTTGAATTAAGAAGTCTAATTGGATGCATAATGATCTTTATGTTTTGTGGCTATCATGAACATGAGAATCAATTGTGCATATAACTTTTGTTTTTAGGTGGATTTAAATCGTTTACAATTTGAAGTACATAAAACCAATGGACCAAGTCGATCAAGAACAAAGTCGTTTGGCCTCTGTATGCAAAGAACCTTACTCTAATATCGATTTTAGTTTTGTGTCAAAAAAAAAAAAAAAAACGGTTTTAGTTTGTAGTTTTGTAAAATTAGTCATAATTAGTTACAATTACAAGATACCATCGAGGGAACATGGTTGGTATACTTCAAAGTTAGCGGTTTCTATTTGCTGATTTGTTTGAATTTTACACAAATTTTACTTAATCTATTTTAATCAGCTTTAGTGATTTGTCAGTGCCTGAGAAAAATCGGTTTTGTGAATACGTTATATTTGTCTTGACATTTATTTTTCTATAACTTTTTACTTGTATAATTTTTACTTTTGAGTTAATTAATAATACAACAATGACTAAAGAAATGCATTAACATGCAAGATTCTACATAAAATAGGTCATGTATAGTGAAACAAAGGAAGTATAGATTAAGCTAATCGAGACTAGTAAATAAGGCATTGTCTATAGACTCTTAAAGTTGAAAACCTAAGTCAAATTTGATGCCTTACTCTTTATTTGATTATTTCTGCACATTTTCTTTTTATTATGTGACACCACTAAAAGATCAATCTTGCTAATCTAAAATGCCATAGTATATTAGTACTCCCTCTATTGCACTAGGTTTGTCTCATTTTTCTCTCAATGAATTTATTCTATACCCTTGTTGAAGAAAAGAGAAAGATATAAAGGCTAGAAAAAGAACAAATAAATCGTAAAACCACTTAGGGCATGTTCACATTTACTTAATTTCAGTTCAGTTCAGTTCAGCTCCTAATTTCTTTCTCTCATAAAATATTCATTTCACCTCAGTTTAGTTCAGTTCAGTTCCCGTGACAGTTTTGACAAGATTATTATTGTCCATGCTCAAATAATTAATGTGCTAAATCATAATCTGTCAATACAATGTTAAATCATAAGTAAATTAAACGAATATTAGACTTGGTATATTAATTACATAGTATTATGCAAGAAATTTTATGTGACACTAGACAAATATATTCAATTTAGACATATCCAAAGTGAGTGATGGAGAGAGTGATAAGAAAAATCTTGGGTAAGCCAATTAAATGCGAAAGTGAAAGTGAGAAAACAACGTTTTTTACTAAAAAGGGCCAAGCTAATATATACGGAGATAAATTTGGTTAAATTTTAGTGGTACATTACCTGTCACAAATCACAATTGTATAGTAGAAATTGTTGCACTATTACCTACCTACCATTTTTAACAATAATGACTAGAAAAAAAATTAATGACTTAGGTAATACCGACAATTAATATATAATGATAGTGAATCATTTTTAGATATGTATGTTAGCAATAACAAAATTCATTTTTTTTGTAAAATGTCAAAATAGTAATGATATATAAATAAAGTTTTTTTTTATTTGAATTGCTTCTTAAAAGTTACTTATTAGTACTTAGTTTAAATTGATTTGTGATAATAATTTTAATATAACTCATTTAAGCGATTGCGAATAATTATCATGGTTGATAATTGATAGATCGATGTGAGGGTGGGGCTAATAAATAGTGAACTAACATGAGAGACAATTTTTTTAATAAAATAAATACATTATATATATATTTAACTGCATCAGGATCAATAATAAGCTTTATTCTCCGAACAAAATGATTAAAAATAAAGTAAAAAAGTCTCGACGTATTAGAAATAATAAGAAATACATGAATCGTGTTGTTTTATGTTGTCCTTGATTGAGTTAATAAGCATTTTTAAATAGTGTCGAGTCGCTGTTATTGACCTAGTATTTTCTATACCAACAACTTGCACTCAAATTAAATAAAAGAGATTTCCAGCTAATCTATAACATTAGACAACTAATAATGAAAGGTGCAAAAATAATGGAGAATGTGGTCCTCGGACATTGTTGTCCTTGTTTCACCATATAATCTCATTTTTATTCCTTTTTCTCAAGTTAGATAGCTAAGTATGTTGCCTTTATATATATATAATTAAAAGCCTTAAATCAAAGCTATCTTGCTTTTTAACTTGACCTTTTTCCTACTCAACATTATATTTATAGCTACCACTAACACTACAACTCTCTTCACTCTTGCTTGTTTTGCATTTTTGTAAGGAAAAAAAATTATGGAAGGATATAGTAACGAAGATGATCTAAGGGGTGGATCCCTAGCTAACATTGTCTATTGCCAAGCAGACAATTGCACGGCTGACTTGACCGAGGCGAAGCGCTATCATCGGCGTCACAAGGTATGTGAGTTCCACGCCAAGGCTCCGGTTGTCATCGTGAACACGAGTCATCAACGATTTTGTCAACAATGCAGCAAGTGCGTAACAACACTCCTCCTCCTTCACACCCAGAAATACTTCTACGCTATATCTCGTGTGTGTGAGCAAATTTTTAGGTACACCTACGGATATGTGCTCCTAGGCGACTAGCAACAACCATCAAGGAGTCGATCCTTTTATTTTGATCTTTAACTCCTTGATTAATTGTTGCGACATCATCTAGGTGCAAGGTATACCTTACAGGCTTATAGGGTTTTTTTTTAATTAGTATTTTTATCACGCATATCACAAACATATATATAACTGAATTATACAAGTCTTTCTAGCTAGTGTCATTTCCTCAAATGCATAATATAATGCCATTTTTTGGGGGGCATTTCATACAACATTTCATCAAAATTTGATCACTGGCCTCCTCTCAACATCAATTCCAATAAATGTGTAATTGTTGACATTGACTCTTCAAAGGTGACTCCCAAAGCAAGGCTTAGTCACTCATCTCTGTAACACGGCTGTCTTTCCATTTTGTCAAAAATGGTTATGCTCTGTCCAGTATTAGATTAATTTGAACTTTCAAATTTCAAATTTACGACAATAACAATTGAAACCTATTTCATTACTCGGGAATTGGGAGAGTAAATTAAATTAGTATAAAAAACATGACATAGAACTATAGAAGTCCTTTAATTTGTACATTCTTAAACATAGCCTACTTCAATTCAATGCATTAGTAAGGTTTAGAGATGACATTTACTAGATGTATGATTATCAAGTTCAATCTAAGCAATAGCTTGTTAAATTATTTACATGTACACTAACATTAATTTGAATTCTTCACTATACTAGCATTATAAACTTGACGTATTCTAATTAGTGTATTGGTGTTAGCTAGGTTCCATGACCTATCAGAGTTCGACGACACGAAAAGGAGTTGCCGGAGGAGACTAGCAGGACACAACGAAAGGAGACGGAAGAACTCCTACGATGTTTCAGGAGAACCCTCAGCAGTCTAAGGCTAAATAGGGCAAGAGAGATCGATCGAGAAACCAGCCTGACGCGCAGCGGATCATCAAGGGGATGATTGTGATTATTAGAGATTAAACCATAGATTAGGCCTCCAATCAAGGGCATAATCAATGGTTTTTTCTCTAATAGTGATTAATAATCATTCTTTTGAATGCTCTCTATCTTCTGTCAAACCCCATTCCTCTGATGTGTGATCTTTGTCCTACCCTAAATAATTTCTAGTTAAGATTATTTTATGTTTTTTTTTTTTTTGACAAGAAGATTATTCATGTTTTTTTTTTATTATTATTATTATTAATATTGTGTGAAATTCTTATGTTTTTGTACGTGACTAATTTCCATGCATAATCAAAATGCTTCATCCTAAGGTCATTTCATGTACAATTTTTTTTTCCGTAATTAATCAAATTTTTTTCCGTAATTAATTAGGTTAGAACACAACAAAAGATAATATAGGAATCTATCGAAATAGTTTGTTTTCTATGAATAACATATGAAGAAAGGGACATGATTAAATATATATATATGTAATTATTAATCATACTAATTTCCAAATTAATAATCATGTCACAATAAAGGCAAGAAAAAGATGCTAAAATTAGAGATTGTGATTTTAATTTGGAGCAAACTATATTACTTGAAATTATTATATTGTCACTTACTAATAGTAATCATCATATTATTGGTTTATTCTATTAGTCGTCAATTTAGAATAAGAATATGTAAAACTAATTACTTCATCTTTGTTGTATGTGTGGATAACTGGATATTGGATAGAGGTAAATGGACTAGGTCGTTTTACAAACTCGCCAGTCTGGCCTAGCTTAAGTTGGTAGATGGGGGGGACCAAGTCCAACCTGTAAATTAAAGCAAGTAGGATGGTTGGTCTAGATTGGTTAGTTGGTTAGGGTCGATTCACAAGGCGTGATGGATGGAGAACCATGCATGACCAATACATGAAGTAACAGTATAGGAATGATCCCAGGTCTTAACTAGGTTGTTTTTAAGGCAAAAGCTAACGAGCGCCTAGAGGCGTTAGATAAGAGAACTAAATATGAAAATATTAAAGTAAAATTAACATAAATTATACCGATTAACGCGTGATTTTTCCAATATCAGTATTATTTTAAATAATATATTAATTAGTTATTTAACGTTCTAGAACGCTCGTGTTAGCATGATTTTTTTTTATAAAGGCTTTTTTTCATCAAGATAATTACTTACTTAGGATGGGATATGATAATCAGGCTATGACAGATTGATCAGACATGCGGAGTACCAATTTGCACAATTTTGGCTCATGATCCACTCACAATTTAGATTGGTTCGAATTCTTGGAAATTGGGTAGGTTAATTTGGGCACCATATTTATTATACATGCCATAATTTATAGAACGTATAATAGGTATGATTTTGGTACTCAATGTGGAGTATTTTAAGAATACGGTAGCCTTTACCGTATTTGAATTGTACTAAAATTGTTTTGAAGTTCTAAATTACTCATTGACTAGATAATTTTTTTACGTACAAATAGAAATTAAACATAATCTATACATATTTACTTTTTACTACCTCCTTTTTGAGGTAAGTTTTTCAACTTTAACTATAAATTCAAATTAACATCATACTGAATGTATCAAATTGATATCATATACTTTGAAGAATTTTGTAGCTACCTCAAGATATGTATAAATCAACTTGAGAAAGAAAAAAAAATCTACAAATATAATTAGATATATTAATGGTATAAGGCATAAGAGAAGACCATTAAAAACAAAGTGTAATCATAAGAGACAGAAGAAGTATATATGTTTTATCACTTTTATGATCGTCGATACTCATCAATATTATTAGTACTAAAAGGGTAATCACTTTATTGTACTTGTATGAACCAAAGTCTCAACCACCTTTTTTATTTGTATATATGACTTTTCGTAAAAACTAATCAGCACATTACATACATAATTGACATAGTACAAATAATACTCCCTTCGTCTCCTAATATTTGTCACTTTTGAAGAAAAAAAAATCATGAAAATTAAGGAGAAATTAAGGAAGTACAATGAAAACTTAAACCTAATCATTTCAAAAAAAAAAAAGAAAAAAAAAAAGAAAAGAGAGAGAAAGAGACAAAGTATTTTGCAATTATTACAGTCAATTTTCAAGAGAAGACCTTTGGTTTTTTTTTTTTTGGCTTTGTTAAACAGCCAATGAAAATCAATCCACCAACAGGGTCAAGAAATCAACAAAAGTCTGCAAGCAACAGGCAACCAACAACACGGTCAACACATCAATAACAGCCAGTAGGCACCATTTAACCAACAAAATGGTGAAGGCCATCATCAGCATATGAGGCTCAATAGTGGGGACAAGTTCAACATATTGATATGGTTGCTGACCGTATCATCAGATGAAAAGCTTAAACGTGGATCCATTCAAAAAGGTGTCACTCGTTTCAATCTATAAAAAAGAACCACACTCAGAAACATGCATGAGAGGAAGACATGCACAGAGATATCAATCATGAGAGTGTGATTCTTTTGAACCAGGGGACTCACTCATGATCACTGACAGCCTGAAGCACATACATTAACATAAATATATCAATACATACATAGTTAAGAAGACATGAAACATGAGAGGAAGACATGAACAGAGATGCATCCACGCATAATGATGGAAGGGATATTTGGTGGTTGGACAAACACCCTAAAGTCAAACTACTTAACTAACCACTAACCTAAGCATAATGGTAAGTGAAGGTCATTCTTTCACAAGGACTAACGAGAACCACCGACAAGTGTTAATTATAATAAACTAGAATGAATCAAGGATTGGAAGTTTATGAACTAACTAGTTTAGACAAAAGAAATGATTGACAAGAGAAGAAAAAAAAAAAAAAAAGGTGCTAGCTAGGGATAAATGGGGTTCAACACCCATCAAACCAAATAATCAATAACCAAGGATAAATCATTAACATACATGGGTGATAGAATGGGAACTCAATGTTGTCTTCTTTCAAAGCCACAATACTAAGCATTTCCTAGACCAAACAACTAACATGATAAGAAATTAAGTCTCAATGATAGGAAGTGGATTTCTAACTCGAGTTTGTCTTCATTTCGATCGTTTCGAGAAAGCTAAAGTCATGAATAATTGGGATTTCTCACCTAAATTATCACACTAAAGCATCCTATTCATTGAAACAAAGCATCCATAGTCATGAAAAAGACATAATTCAATTGCACAAGAAAGGACTCACTACCAAACCCCATCTTTCAATGTGAGTAAGGGAATGAACACATGAGCATAAAGTGGCCACCAAAATACACATGCAACAATCAATTCAAGCACAAAAAACTATCAACCCAAAGTAAAATAACATGAATAAATCCAAATTACACTACTAGAAAACATGCAAATAACGGCGGAATTTTTCCGTCGGAAACACCCTAAATTCCGTCGAAAATGGGGTTTCCGACGGAATTTCCGTCGTAACGGGTCGTCGGAATACATATTGTAGGAAAACGTCCTTTTCCGACGGAAATTCAGACGGAATTCAATCTGTCGGCAGTGATTTTCAGGCCAGAGAAAATCCATCGGAAAATTCCGACGGAATGTAATCCGCCGGAATATTTCGACGGAAATTCCATCGGAAAATTCTTTAAAAAAAACAAAAAAAAGCCTGCCACCACCCTACACCACCAGTCCCCCCCCCCCCCGGCCATCCAGACCCAACCACAACCACACCACCAGCCCCCCCATCTATACCCAACCACAACCACACACCACCCCACACCACCAGTCCCCCCCCCATCCAGCCCAACCACAACCACACCACCAGCCCCCCATCTATACCCAACCACAACCACACACCACCACCGACCCTATCCTACCACCACCGACACCACCACAACAAAAAATTAGCCCAAAAAGCCGTAAATTAACCCCAAAAAACCGTAAATTAACCCAAAAAAACAAAAATTTACACAACAAAAGCAAGAAATAACACACAAAAACTCAAAACCAGTAGATCTACATATTTAACCAAAATTTCATAAAATAAAACGATGATTAATCAACAAAAATTAAATCAAATATATAAATAAACACAATTATCTATTTAAATTTACAATATATCATTACAATTACATATAAAATTAACTAGATCTATGAATCTATCCTAAATTAAAACAAGATCTACCAAAAAAAGACGGTGGTTGTTGGGTTTGATGTTGATGCTCGGTTGTTGCACTACAACAAATTAACCTTTGTGCCACGAGTAGAATCGTGGCACAAGTTTAGAATTCCCGTGGCTATGTAATTTAGCCACGGGAATTTAGAAATTTACTCCCGTGGCACAAGAGGCCGTGGCTAGGAATTTGCCACGGGAAAATGGATGTCGTGACAAATTTTATATTTTATGCCACGAGTATTCACGTGGCAAACAAATTGACTTGCCAAAAATATTAATGTGGCTAACAAATTATATGCCACATATTCTACCGTGGCAAATAAGCTTGTTTGCCACAAATACTATCGTGGCTAATGCAATATGTTGCTTTAAATATTAATGTGGCTACTAACACTTGCAAAAAAATTTTCCCATTTTTTGCATTTTTAACCCAAAATTGATCAATAGTTATATTACAAATATACTTATAAAACATAGATATTCCCATTAATAGCTTGTAAATTTACACTTTTTATCCGAAAAAATTAAAAAAAAATACAATTAGATAATTAGAGTACACTACAATTGAAGCAGCAACAATCAGCCAAGCAAAAGCAGTGTCCGGCCACAACAGGAATGCCTAGGCCAACTACAACAATAGCGGTAAACCTTGGAGCATCTAAACCACCTTGCTTTCTTCAACTAGCACACTGCACAACACAAATGTCTTCAATTTCAGCCAGCAGGAGCTTTCTTTGTTTTGAGATTATGTCATAAGTCCAAGATTTAATTCACTGCAATTTTAGGAGAAACATATATTATATTTGCATATAATAAAATAAGTATGAGTAGGAGCATATATATAGTACACTAAGAAAGAATGTCCAAAGTACAATCTTGTACATTACAAAATATGACACGTATCAATTTCTACTTATTAATTATTCAGACCAGACTCTCAGAAGGAAGAATGAGAAAGCCTAGACAACAGATGCATTTGTACTCATCTACTGTTCTGTTTTTGTTTCAAGTCCAAGTAGTAAATATCACACTCTTCTAAGATTGCATTTAGTCAGGCTAAAGAGCCACTTTCAATTTCAAGAACTATAAACAATTAAAATTGAAGCTAAATGAAGGTTCGTGCAGTCATCTACTCTGCCAAATTGCTACTAACAAGTAGAAAATGGCAGGTTTTATTGCAGACATGGCAGTCATCTATTTTTGAAGACATGAAAGCTGAGAAAGATGATAAATTCTTATATCAGTGAC